GCAACCGTGAAATGAGGATCTTGTGGCCAGGAATAATCAAGGCACCTGAGACACGTGGGAAGGAGAGGTTGGGATTGTTAGGGACTGGGAAGTCCCAAATAAAAAATGGAACGTTAACGGGAACGATGCCGGAGACTAAATGGGTCAAAATAAAATAATCGAAAATTAGAACATGTACTGACGGAACTAGAAAATGAAACTAGCACATGACGAATGGCGGGGACTTGAGTGTCCCAATGAAAACAGTGAACTGTGCGTGGAGGATGAACTCGCGAAGCGAGTGGAAAAGAAAAATTTTTGAGGCAAAAAAAAAGAAGAAATGGTGATGGAAGGCCTGCCTTGTAGTCCGAGATATCTTGGACTAGCAAGGCATGAGAAAATAGAGCCCCACGGGGCTCTACGCATAAAATACGTTGACAGGGAAAAAATGGAGCAATGGGGGTCAAAACTTGAGATTAACGGAGGCAAAATTGAGCCCCCATGAGTGTAGGGGCTTAATTATTATGATCCGAGAAAGAACGGTCAGTTGCTGGATGTAGATCCGGTTTTAGATCAAGATCCATGACCTAAAAAAAAAGTCTACAGTTGCTTGACACTTATCACAACAGAAATAAAATAAAAGAAAAGAAAAAGGGGAGAAAAAAAAGAGAGAATAAGACAAAAAAGGAGAAAAGAGTGGAGGAGGTTGTGTCGGTCAGTTAGGACTGGCAGGCCCCTACTTTGACCTCATCACTCTGGATTTATTGGAGGGCAATCTGGAGTGAAGAAATAAGGCCCAATATATAAATTAAAAAGACAAAATTAAGAGAAAAAACAAAAAAAAGTTGACCATTTTTTTTAAGGTCATGAATCTGATATCAGATCTCATGGAGGAGGGGATATGACCATTTTTTGTGGGGCCAACTCAAACGGTCAACTCCATAATGAGTTGGCAGCCCAAAATGTAAAGGAAAAAAAAAGGGGAAAAAACGAAATAGTGCATTTGGCCGAAAAAGAAAACCAGATGCACCAAAAATTGAAAAAGTGAGTCTTGGGGCTAAAATATGAAGTAGGAACCACTTAGGGGTAACTCGAATTAATGCTGGCCTTGGATCCCAGCCAGATCCAAGGCTAAGATAGCACCGAGGTACAAGAAAATACCTCGGCCTACTCAAATTGGGATAGGACCTAGGCTACCAGAGTGGTCCGGGTCCACTTGCCTGGCCGGGCCAAAAAAGAATAAAAAAATAAAAAAATAAAAATTATTTTTTTACTTAAATTTTTATTTTAAATTTGGTAAAGAATTTCGATCCGACCCTGAGGCAAAAGTTGTTCACTTTATTTTGGTGCATAACATAGTTTTTTTTCGGTTTTTTTTTTTTTTTTTTTTTTTTGGCTGGGACCTTCCCTGGTCCTTGCACCGCCGGGCCGCCCGGGAAAATGGGGTGACCCGGGCGGCCCGGCTGGTAGCCTAAGGTAGGACTAGAAAAAATCGAGAAAAATACTCACAAGGTCTTTTTCTTTCAAGTAGGGCTGCCCCTTGAATATTCGGATCCAAGGGGCAACATGTGAAAATGAAAATGAGGCATAAGGACACTCTAGAGGCAGGCCGAGCTGGCACCAATAACTCGGACTGCATCTACCTGACCAAGAAGAGGCACAGATGCTCCCGGAGAGGTCTAGTGGAGGGAAAAAACCTTGGGGGTACCTCGGTTCACCATGGGGCACATGGGAGGCCCATGAGATGGCTGAAGTGTTGTGCCCTGTCTATATAAGCTGGGGGAGCAGCCTACGACACTCACATTTGCATGAGGCAAGTACATGCTGCCCATATGAGCCCAAGCGAGTTCCAAACTCAACCGACGTGAAAGGAGGGGAACCGTTGCCGCAGTTTGGAAGCCTGGAGGAGGTTGCAGGCTGGTGGGGGAGACTATTAGAGGTTGTGTCAGCCTAAGGAAGTGATTCACCATAGCCCCCAGGCTGTGAATGAGGGAGGAAGGCTAGTAGCGGTTCGCTTAGCCCTCCTATAGGGGAGGACTCCATAGCCTTGGTGGTAGGAGTTTGCCATAGCCTAGGAGAGACTGAGAAAGGAAGCAGATGAGGGCTTGAAGAAGAATGAATTCATAGCTGGGCTGCAAGTGTGCAAAGGGAGAGAGGTTTCACAAAGATTGACATCTTCATCTCAAGATACTAGAGGAGGTGAGTGAGAAACTTTTTTTTTTTTTTTTTTTTTTTTTTTTTTTTTTTTTTTTTCCTTTTTTTTTTTTTTTTTTTTTTTTTTTTTTTCCCCTTTTTTTTTTTTTTTTTTTTTTTTTTTTTTTTTTTTTTTTTTTTTCTTCTTCTTCTTCTTCCTCTTTTTTTTCTTCCTTTTCTCCTTCTTCTTCCCCTTCATTTCCTTCTTATTTTTTCCCTCCTTCTTTTCCTAATTATTCTTCATTTTTCTTCATCTCCTTTCTCTCCTCTCTCCTCCTTTTTCTTTCTCCATAAGTAATATACTAAGCATGGGGAAGGTAGGAAGTAGCTTCTCCACTAGAGATTGCCTCCATGTAGCCCAGTTTTTCACTCCAATAAATTTTGTCACTTTGCATTTTGAGATTTCATACATGATCACTCCCTTCACTTTTTTGTCATCTTCTCACTTGGGTGTATATCGCAACTCCATTTCTTGCTCTTCTTAGTGTTCTTGTCTTCATTTGCTCATGCTTTGTCAATTTTCTCACTTCAAAGTATTTCGCCACTTTGCATTTTGAGTTTCCATGAATAACCCCCTTCACTTTTTTGTCATCTTCTTACCTGGGTGTAAATCTCAACTTCATTTCATGCTCTTCTTAGTGTTGATGTCATCCTATGCTCGTGCTTTGTCCGTTGTCCCACTTCAAAGCATTTCGTCACTTTGCAGTTTGAGTTCTCATGCATGAGAATGCATGAGAATGAGTTTCAATCACTCTCCCTTCACTTTTTATTCATCCCCCCACTTGGGAGTAAATCGCAACTCCATTTTTTGCTCTTCTTAGTATTTTTGTCCTCATGTGCTCATGCTTTATCCATTTTTCCACTTCAAAGTATTTCGCTACTTTGCATCTTCAGTTTCTATGCATGAGACCCTTCACTTTTTGTCCATCTTCTCACTTGGGTGTAAATCTTAATTTCATTGCTTGCCCTTCTTAGTGTTGATGTCATCATATGTTCATGCTTAGTCCATTTTCCCACTTCAAAGTAGTTCGCAACTTCACATTTTGGGTGAGTTTCACTCACTCTCTCTTTACTTTTTTGTCATCTTCTCTCTTGGGTGTAAATCGCAACTCCATGTCTTGCTCTTCTTAGTGTTTTTGTCTTCATGTGCTCATGCTTTGTCCGTTTTCCCACTTTAAAGTATTTCACCACTTTGCATTTTGAGTCTTCATATGCCCACTCTCCGTTCACTTTTTGTTCATCCTCTCACTTGGGTGTAAATCACAACTCCATTTTTTGCTCTTCTTAGTGTTCTTGTCATCATGTGATCAAGCTTTATCATTTTCCCCACTTAAAAGTATTTCGCCACTTCGCATCTTGAGTTTCCATGCATGAGACTAAGTTTCACTTCACTCTCCTTTCACTTTTTGTTCATCTTCTAACTTCGGTGTAATCGCAACTTCATTTCTTGCCCTTCTTAGTATTGATGTTATCATATGATCGTACTTTGTCTATTTTCCCACTTCAAGGTAGTTCGCTACTTCGCATTTTGAGTTTTCATACATGAAACTCACTTCCCCTTTACTTTTTGTTTATCTTCTCACTTGGGTGTCAATCGTAACTTCATTTCTTGCTCTTCTTAGTGTTGTTATCTTCATGTGATTACGCTTTGTCAATTTTCTCACTTCGAAGTATTTCGTCTCTTCACATTTTGAGTTTTCATGCATGACTGTCCCTTCACTTTTTAGTCATTTTTTCACTTGGGTGTAAATCGCAACGCCATTTCTTGCTCTTTTTGGCGTTAATATCATCATGTGCTCATGCTTTGTCCATTTTTCACTTCAAAGTATGTCGCCACTTTGCTTTCTGTGCTTCCGAGCTTGGGAGTGAGTTTCACTCACCCCCCCTCTATACTTTGTCAATCTTTTCACTTAAATGTAAAGCGCAATTTCTATCTTTGTCCATTTTGTTGACATAGTCGTATGTGCACAGTGAACACTCTATATCTGTGGCAGCTCACCCCCATGTGCTTTATTTGAATGGCACAATAATTCCCCCCCTGCGCTGTATTTGAACGCCGCTTCACCCCCCCTGTGCTCTACTTAAGCGTGGTAAAGGGGAGAGAGTGGATAGGAGACTATAGCTGCTGCTGCTGTTGCTGTTGCTGATGATGTGCCTAACGCTGTTGCTACTGATGCCTGGGCAAGATCTTGACTACTACTGCTGCTGAGAAACCACCGTCCAAGTCCCGGGGGCAAAAATCGGGCCGAAATAGCCAACGAGCCAATGCGGTCCGGGACGTTGAAAAAACAACTCCACCAGGCAGGGGGTTTAGGGGCTGCGACTGAACAAGCCCCATATCCTAGGCATATATAAATGGTCTACAAAACCACCAAGCCATCAGAGTCCATTTTCCCACAAAAACAAAAAATGGACTTCCTCGAACTGTTCACTGGGGCCTCGGGCGGTGCTTGAAACAGGCAAGTAGGGGCAAACGACGATGAAATCAAACCAGATTTTAGGAGTGCAATCAGTAGGGTATAGACAAAGGGCCTATGAAGTTACGTGCCCATTTGACCTCGTTTAAGCCACCAAACTCAAAATCACAGTTTTTCGGCTCTCCCTCCCCTTGCAAAATTAGCAAAACCTGAAAAATCGCAAATCTGAGTTTTTCTTACAAATCTGAGTTCTGCAAAGTCTGGGTGTCTGTTGCAAGTCTGAATTTCGCAAGTCTGGATTTTTTTATGCTTCGGACGTTGAGATAACACAAACAGGGCGAGTCTGGAAGCTTAGGATCCATCATAGCCAAGTACCTTCACCCCTTGTTCCTCCTCTTTCACCCATCCACCATAGCTAAGTACCTTCACCCCTTCCTCTTCCTCCACCTCCTTCACCCATCCACCATAGTCAAGTACCTTCACACCTTCTTCCACTTCACCCATCAATCATAGCCTAGCGCCTTTACACCTTTCACATCCACCTCCTTCGCCCATCCACCATATCCAAGTACCTTCACACCTTCTTCCACCTCCACCTCCTTCACCCATCCACCATAGCCAAGCACCTTCGCACCTTCTTTCTCCTCCACCTCCATCACCAATCCACCATAGCCAAGTACCTTCACCCCTTCTTCTTCCTCCACCTCCACCCATCCACCATAGCTAAGTACCTTCACCCCTTCCTCTTCCTCCACCTCCTTCACCCATCCACCATAGCCAAGTACCTTTACACCTTCTTCCACCTCCACCTCCTTCACCCATCCACCATAGCCTAGCACCTTCACAACGTCTTCCACCTCCACCTCCTTCGCCTATCCGTCATAGCAAAGTACCTTCATACCTTCTTCCACCTCCACGTCCTTCACCCATCCACCATAGCCAAGCACCTTCGCACCTTCTTCCACGTCCACCTCCTTCACCCATCTACCATAGCCAAACACCTTTGCACCTTCTTCCTCCTCCACCTTCTTCACCCATCCACCGTAGATAAGCACCTTCATACCTTTTTCCACCTTCACCTCCTTCATCCATCCATCATAGTCAAATGCCTTCACCCCTTCTTCCTCCTCCACCTCCTTCACCCATCCACGTTAGCCAAGTACCTTCAAAGTTCACAGCTTCTTCCACCTCCACCTCCTTCACCCATCCACCATAGCCAAGCACCTTCGCACCTTCTTCCTCCTCCACCTCCTTTACCCATCCACCATAGCCAAATACCTTTACACCTTCTTCCTCCTTCACCGCCTTCACCCATCCACCATAGCCAAGTACCTTCACACCTTCTTCCACCTCCACCTTCTTCACCCATCCACCATAGCCAAGCACATTCACACCTTCTTTCACCTTCACCTCCTTCACTCATCCACCATAGCCAAGGACCTTTACACCTTCTTCCACCTCCACCTCCGTCGCCCATCCACCATAGCCAAGTACCTTCACTCCTTCCTCCACCTCCACCTCCTTCAACCATCCACCATAGCCAAGCACCTTCACACCTCCTTCCACCTCCACCTCCTTCACCCATCCACCATATCCAAGCACCTTCGCAGCTTCTTCCTCCTCCACCTCCTTCACCCATCCACCATAGTCAAGCACCTTCACACCTTCTTCCACCTTCACCTCCTTCATCCATCCATCATAGCCAAATACCTTCACCCTTTCTTCCTCCTCCACCTCTTTCACCAATCCACCTTAGTCAAGTACCTTCACACCTTCTTCCACCTCCACCTCCTTCACCCATCCACCATAGCCAAGCACCTTCGCACCTTCTTCCTCCTTCACCTCCTTCACCCATCCATCATAGCCAAGTACCTTCACACCTTCTTTCACCTTCACCTTCTTTACCCATCCACCATAGCCAAGCACCTTCGCACCTCCTTCCACTTCCACCCCTTCACCTATCCGCCATAGCCAAGTGCCTTCACTCCTTCCTTCACCTCCACCTCCTTCACCCATCCGCCATATCCGAGTACCTTCACACCTTCTTCCATCACCACCTCTACCTCCCTCACCAACCAATGTCGTGGTTCAAGGCATATAAAGCAGCAGACTGATTAAGGAGTCATAGGTAGGACGGTAGAACAAGTAGAGGGTAGGTTGGATTAGGCCTAAATGTGGGGTCTCTCTCTCTCTCTCTCTCTCTCTCTCTCTCTCTCTCTCTCTCTCTCTCTCTCTCTCTCTCTCTCTCTCTCCCCAACTTCTCCTATCTTCCTCTTTCTAACCCCAACGTCAAACCCTTACCCCCTCTTCCTTTTCCTTTTGGCCTGCAACTAACCCTTCCCCCATTCACTTGTTACATTGCAGGGGTACGGACGATGAAAAAACTTTGAATCTCGCTTGGGGGAAGAAGAGGGCAAGGAGGGTTGCCGCAACTTGCCGGCCCCTTTTTCCACCGAGAGGAGCTTGACGGGTTTGACGATGGACAAAGTCCAAGAAGGATTAGAAAGAGTTGCTAAGTTTAAGAAAGGTCGGTTGACTAAACTAGAACCTCGACTGCATGACTAAGAGAAGAGGATGGTTTGAAAGAGGAAAGGAAATGATATGGGAAAGAACCTAAGGATATGGAGATTAGGCATGTAGGAGGGGCTATGTGTTGACCCCAAATGGGGGTTGTATCTGTTTGCTTTGTATTGGGTGTGAAGGTAAGTAGCCTTGACGGATGCCTTGAGAAGGACTGCGCCCGGATAGGCCGGGAGGCAAAGGACAAGGAGGATAGAAGCTAAAGTGGGTTGTTAACGTAATCCTTTGCCATGAATGAGCCCCTTTGTGCATGCAACTCCGATTGTGAAAGAAACAATTTTGGCCCCAATAACAGAGGCTTGCGTTGGTGTCGGACGGTCGAGATGGCCGCTAAGTCTTATAGGAATGCGGGTGGGAGTCCTGAAAAGACTAAGGGGTGCAACAAAACATGATGCATGAAGTGTGAAACAACGAAGGCTCATGCGTAGGCCGACAAAGAGGACCGGAGGGAGTCCCCACCTACCTCCATGAAGTCGGAGGAGCATTGCGTTAGTAAATGGATGTGTGACCCAAGTAAGACGCTTGGCCTGCCCATAAGAGAAGAAAAGTCTTTCAAAGAACTCCCTGAACTGCATGTGTATTGGAAGGAGAAATTGCATGAGAACACAACAGAGTTTGGAGGAACGGACACTTGCAAGTGATCAGACAAACTGCCCCCTTGGCGAGAAAGTTGAGCTACATCCCCAATGTCAAAGCTCTCTCGCTCAATGACCCACCCCCATCCATCTCAAAGCACTAGGTGGGGGTGACCCGATGACGAATGGCTCCGCACCCTGGGCATGAGTGCGGGCGGAGCCGAGCCAGCTGGGACCCGCAGATGGTTCGACTCACGCTCGAAAGTCTAACAGGGTGAGGCCCTACAACATGACGGACCTACAATTGAGAAGCACACCACATACTGATGAAGGAACCAACATACTCACTAGCGTTGCGGCCTACCGCACACCATCGTGCGCATCACCATGTAAGCATTGGAACGAAGACTGCCACATGCTACCCCAGTGATTGACATCCCAGGCCACGATGCGACCGATACACCCACAATGCCACAAACTATCACAACGAACATGCTGACGTGCAACCGTATTTCCTGGGAGCTGACACAAACAAATTCCCACGTCCAACGTAGCTTCCCACCAGTCAAGCTCTATAGTGGAGGCGAACCTCACATTGTCCTGACGACGTGGCAAGGCGTCAACAAAAGCGGCACCCCGGGGACACCGGACCATTCCATCACATGGTCCGTCATCACTGGGATGCCGGACCAGGACGTCACATGTCTCCCCGTCCGGGGAACGCCGGACCATATGATGGCATGATCCGGCATCGCGTTTTTCCGTCCGGGTGAACGACGGACCATATGATGGCATGGGCGCTGGGGCTTTGGACCATGCCATCATATGGTCCACCGTCGGAGACGCCGAAACATTCCATCATATGGTCAGGCGTCCCGGGGACGTCGGACCATGCCATCATATGTCATCATATGACGAACGATGTGTGGTAATTGTTTGTCCGGCGAATGCAAGGGAACTTGCAATAAGCGCTACGTGCACCAAATTGCGACATAAAAAGAGATGTTGGTTTCGTTTTGGACCCGTTGAGGACAGTGAGGAGATCTCTCATGTTGGACGTTTTGTCCACCGACCCTAAACAAAAGTTGTCATTGCTTGCATATTTGACTTCGTTGACATGCAGCAACTACAACAACACACATTCATGCCTCCTCCTGGGTTTTGGGCAAAGGGTTTTTTCAATAATACATTCGCAACTTCGACGGCAACCCGAAAAAAAACACCCCTTCGCATCACGTACAACTTAATTTATTCAAGCAACCGGAAATACTTATATTTCTGACACCTCTTGCATTTGGAGAACAACCGTTTTGCGCATTCTTTATTGAATAAATATAGTGTCATTCTGTTTTTTCTCATTTGATGAGTATACGCCGGTTCTGGGTGATCCCTTGCGTGGCGTTTTGTCCATGATCAGTCAATAAAGCAACCACATAAAGCCCGACTTTGTTGTTGGGCACAACGAACATTAGGCATTTATCTCCGAACGTTGGTCATATAAAAAATAACGGGCGAGTGGAGAAAACTTTTCTACATTCATTTTTTGAAACAAAGTGAGACATATGCATACGAGCATTCGTTTGAGACACGTTCGACTGTTTTAAAATGTCGGGCAGAGGGGATAATAGTCGCAAATGCATATCAGCATGAGTTTGAGACAAAGTGAGACAAACGTGGGGAAAAAGCAAAACAAAAGCCGAGAACATCAGACAGAAGCAAAATATGCGACAAGGACAAAAGACATGAAATTAACAAGATGTGCTAACTAACGCGCGAATAAGTGAAACAAAACCCGAGAGAGATGCAAGGGCGATGTTGTTCGTGCATTTAAACAAGACGACTTTTCATGTGTTCGTTGTAAAAGGCCGGCGAGAATGGAGCAAATGATGTCGTGCAGGGGCAGTGGGAAAACCGACAAGCGAAAGACATAACTAAAACAACAATACATAACAAAATGTGAGATCAAGTCAGATACATCGGGAGTTTGGCAATGCATAAGAAAAACAACATCGATACTCATATCCTTGCAGGGTTCTATTTTTTCTCACCTGGTAGAAGTTGCAGAGGTCTTGTTGCCGATTCGTGTTCACACACACAAAGGTCAAGCTATGGGTCGGGGAGAAAGAGAGAGGGAGAAATCCAGATTTCTCTCTCCTCCCTCTATTTATGGTTTTTTTTTTTTTTTTTTTTTTTTTTTCGTGCCAAGCGGAAAGGCTGCGCAGGTCACATACAAATGCCTAGCAATGGGTAGGGGATAAAAAAAAGGGGGAAATATCGAGATTTTTCTCCCCTTTCTACATTCTTGTTGGTTGCAGATCGATAAAAGGTTGCGTTGTTCACACACACACAGACCAAGCTATGGGTAGGAGAGAAAAAAAAAGGAGGTATCATAATCTCTCTCCCCTCCCTCAATTTTTATTTCCATTTTTTTTTTGTCAAGCGAAAAAAGTTGTGCTGGTCACACACACCAAGTAAAAAAATCTGCGCTATTCACACACACAAAGGCCAAGCTATGGGTAGGGCAGAAAGAGAGGGGGGAAATCGAGATCTCTCTCCTCTCCCTCCATTTAGACCAAACACAGACCCTTTAGACAAATGACCCGAAACGGAAATGCCATTTAGTGCAAAGGTTGATGCAAAGTGTGGGTGTCGATGGTGAGTGAGGGTTGAATTCGATAACCAACCTGTTACCATAGGGCAACAATATGTAGCCTTGTATAGACTCATAATGAGTCTCCTTGAAATTTAAGTTGACTTGCAATCACACAGAGGCCACCACGGTCTCAACACCTCTTGGCCATCGACATGACCCGATCTGAAGTTGAATATAGTGAACTTCATTTTAGCCGGGTATAATATTACATCAACATAACTCTCTCTAGGCAGCCTCTCTAACCTCTTATCAGATCAGCTTCTAGGGATAGTCGTCTGAAGGAAAAGAAGTATAGAGCTAACATCGCCAAAACTTTCCCCTTCAGACATACATAGACAAAGTATCATCCATCTCATATGGAGTGGAATCATAAGATTGGCATCAATCAATAGGTTACGGTAGAACATGTCACACGGGGTCACATTCCTTCTACCTTCACCTCAGTAGAATCAGAAAGCGGTCTGTTAATAATGGATGCATCTCTTCTCAGGGCTTTCACTGTTCCCTGTCTATCGAGAAGATTAGTAACAGTATGGTAGACCACTCGGTATCTACCCATCCCTTTTACTGGCGTCTGTTTGTGATAGGGCACGCCTCGAGGGCCTTGCTCCTCCTATCTACTGTCTTGCATTAGATCAGGTCAGATGGTGATAAGGCAAGCTTCTCAGAGTCTTCGCTCCTCTTACCGCACTAATCTTAGTTACTATAGTGGTAAGGCAGGCTTCTCGGAGCCTCGCTCCTCTTACCACACTAATCTTAGTTACTA